CCTTCCTCTGCTCGCTCACCTGGGCAGAGCCGGGCACCAACACCGCCTTGGCCAGAGCCGAGGTCTGCGGCGCGCTTCTCGACAAAGCCCTCGCCGCTGGGGAAGCCGTAATTATAACCCGGCTGCCATCAAGGCTGTGTCAGGCGCCGATGTGTTTACGCTGCGGAGCATAAAGTGCCTTCGGTCAGCAGAGTTCAGGGAGTCAGCCCTGCGAGGCGAGTCCTCCCGGGCTGGTTTCTTTGTGTCTGGGCCAGGGGAAAATAGAGGGGGTGAAAAAACCCCAACTTCTGGGAAAGCTGCTGATGGTTCCAGTTAGCGTCCCCCCAGCCCTCGATTTTCTGTTTGAAGCCTGTTCCTTTTGTCATTGCTTGGCTGCCGCATGCCTGTAGAGCTGGTTTTATTTGGGAAATAAATGCGTGTTGATTGACAGGTGCACACTAACTTATTAAATGAGGTCGCTGAGATTTTGTGTTGCGTAGTTTCGGGGGGGAGGTCGTCAGTGCGTTCTTAGCTCTCAGCCGCTCCGAGGTGGGCGTAGCAGCGTGCTTCTCGAAGCGATGGCCGTGTTTCGGCGCGAAGCTGCCCTTTGCTGAGCACAGAGTCTGTGTTTTGGGCGCCACTGGAACAGGGCCTGCTCTCCCCCGGGGCAGAGGGCGCGCAGAGCGAGTTGTTGTGGCTCTGTACCAACGCAGGACGCTCCTAGAAATCGCGCGGTTGAGAACAAAAGTGCCCAGCGCTGGCTTGCATTAAAGGCAGAGGATTCCTGCTTCCCTCGCTTCGGGGACCTGGCAGAAGCCGGCAGCTCCGTGTGACACCGTGTCCCTGCGGCGGGTGGCTGGAGCCTGGGTCTGAACGTCGGACTGGAGCCTGGCGCTCGAGCGTTCGTTTCCCTCTGATGTGTTCCTCTGTAGCAGATTTCTGAGTTCATCTCCTTCAGCTAATGCTCGTTAGTTCTGAACGTTCTCTGAAGCAGATTGCCTTTTCCCAGTCTTATTTCGTTGCTTCCCGTGCACCTTTGGAGGAACGAAGAGTGGGTTTGCTGGAGAGAAAGGTCGGCGTGCTCCGTTCGCTGCCCGTGCTTTCCCGCACCGGCTGCTGAGGAGCAAGGAGCT